AAAATAATCGTAAATAACATAATAGTAATAGATATTTGAGAGAGGGTAGAGTTGTCTTCTCAAATATTTATTTAACAAAAGTTTTTAACGAAATGTTAAAAAAGAACTAACGTTATAACTGAGGTGAGCTACATGGACTAAGTTGAGAAAAAATAAAGTACAATGACCACTTTCAAAATGAACCCAAAGGATAGGACCAAATTGATATTTATCATATCATATCATATCATATTATCACATCATATCATATCATCATACTCCTTATAAAAGTGTGAGTTTAAGAAAAACTTTTCATAGATAAAAATGCCCCGATTTTTTTAGATATTACATTGTTATCCTATCTTAATTAATATAAATTTAATTATCCATAGTAATTAGTAAAGAGATGAAAAATTATTATCCTATTCTAATATTTTCAAATTTCAACATCATGTTAAAAGATAAAGATTTTACAGGAGTTATTTTTTCTTTAAATTTTATTGTTTGTGAAAATTAGAAAAGAGAAACAGTTTGCAAATATGAAAAAATTGAGGTGTATGTATGTAAAAATCATAACTTCATTCTTTTTTATTCAGACCAACTTATTTTTAAATTTTAAAAAAATTCGTTATGGATATGTACAGACCGGATTAAAGTGAACAAAATCCCCATCGTGGGCAGCATTGAATTACATTTAGACTCATCTAAAATGATAAGCCTCTAGAGACATTCTAATGCATATTGTTATCATACTGAAATTGTATTAATTTTACAAGCGTTATGCTTGTGCTCGCACATGGTTGTTTATAATTTTTAGGGGTTTCTATATAATTTTGGACTTTTGAGGTGATTGTTTGTCATGTTCAAATATTAAAAAAGGTTGCTTGTAGTTTTTATCTTTTTTTCATGGTGCTACTCGTATCATTCAAAATTTTGGGCCATTGTAATTTTCAAACTTTTATGGGCTGCTTCAAAATTTAAAATTTTCAATGGTCCTTTTGCAATTTTAGATTTTTAGGGGGAGTTTGTAATTTTCATACTTTTCAGGGGCTTGTTTGTAGTTATTGGTATTTGTCTATAATTTCTAAATTTTAAAGGGCGTTGTTTGTAGTTTTTAGATTCTTCAGTGGATTGTGTGTAGATTCATATTTTTTAGAGAGCTATTTGTAATTTTTATATTTTTAGTAATTCTTTGTAATTTTATAGATTAATATACAATTAGGAATGATTTGAAGGTACATATTGGCCTTTAGGAATAATGTTCATTGTGTAAAATTATGGGATAATGGCCTTATGGGGTTAAGTGAAAAAAAAATCAAAATGTATTGGGGAAATTATTGGAAAACAAGTTATGAAAATCACTAGGTGAGAAATGAAGTAGATGCAGTTTTAAATATTATCAAGACCATTTATAATCTAATTGATTTTAATAAGATGCCATACTTATAAACATTTCTTTACAAGGAGAAGCAAAGATTGAAAGTACATGAGATTGGGCATAAATGATTTGTCGCTAGCACCCTAGTATGGAGCTTACAGAAATATGTTTCCAATCTGAGGCCCTACCTCAAATGAAGAAATAGAGAAGAGTGCTTTCTACCCTAAGATCTTGTCACCTCTCTATCTTGTTCTCCTCCCGCTACTTTCTATTCCTCCTCCTCCCATCTCCTTCTCCTTCTCACGAGCCAAGGAGTAACCCGCTGATCTCCGCCTCCTTCCTAAGGTTCGATCTCTCATCTCCACTCTCTTTTACCTTTTTGATTTGCGGTGTTCTTGAGCCTGCATGCTTGTGATCTAATCGAAGTCGCAGCGGGATTTGGGAGCTGGTCGGGGTTGAGGGGCTGAGAGAGACAAAGCAGAGGGGGAGGAGGAGGAGGGAGAGGAGGAGTTCATGATATATAGAGAGAAAGGGGATATGTGTTTTGCTTGGAGGAGAGCTGAGAGAGTTGGGCCGTTAGAGGAAGAAGAGAACCGGGCTCGGGTTCAGGCGAGCCTAACCCAGCTCCGACGAGCTCGGCCATGGCCTCCTCGACCTCCAGTCCCTGCAAACCCTCTCCCTCTCCGACAACAACCTCACCGGGCCCTTGAACTCGAGCCTATCCCAGCTCCCAAATATTGCATACTCCTCTTTGATGAAGTTTCAAACACTAAGTCAATGTCATATACATACAAAACTACGAGTAAACCCGAGAAATTGAATGTTAAAATTTATAGTTCGACATCAATGACTGTAACTCCTCTTTTTCCTTTTCTTCATTTACAGTAGCATAGCATGTTTATATTTTTTTATCTATTAAATCGAAAACCCATCCTCTTGTAAGATTCTCAACAAGAATCTCAATAAGCCAAACTCATTCTAGCAGAAAACGACTGCAAATGCTTCATGCAAACTTCAATCTTCTTAGATTAAAAACTAAAACTTTTTGCATCATAAAAGACTCCGTAATAAAAACTTCCCTTCCAGCAAAACGAGAGGAGAGAATCAAACAACAGCAGATTAAATAAAAATCCAATGCCTATAAATCAAGTTTTATTTAATCTGCTGGTTAGTTTTATATCTCTTGTTTGTGATGTTTGAGTTTCTAATTTTTGCTATTATAATTTTAGTCATGATTATGACATTGATGAAGAGACTGCAAATAGGAACTGATTAGTATATTGGGGTTTGGGTTTGTTGTGTATGTCTGAAAACTTAAAGAATGATTAACATGCTCATTGTTTGATAAAATTCCAGTTATTAGAACGGATGTGTATCTTGGGTTTGGGTTGTTGTGAATGATTTCACCTCGATGAATTTAGAGTAAGCTACATATTTCTAGTTTGATGGAATTAAAGTGAAAGAGGTATGCATATTTTGTGTTATGATGATGGGCTATTTTTAAGATATGCAGCCAAAGTTTATAGCAGCAATATATTAGCGAGACAATATATTGCAGCCAACATTGTTATTATAAACTTCATGGTGAGACAGATAATGAAGAAAAGGACCTTTTCTAAGCACATTTTCTCTAATTTTTTTTGAGCTTTGGTTTCAGCTCTTGGCATATTTCTAGTTTTAGTTGCGTGCAAACTGTGCTGAATTTGGTTATGAAGTTGGTTTCAGCATTGGTTCAGTCTTGGTTTCAGCTCCAGTGATATAGGCACATGGGATATTTCCACAGAGCATACTTATGAGTTTTTGGTGTATATGTCATATGGGATCATGTCCTTTGATGCAATACGTATTTTCCAGGTTCTTATTAATTTTTTGTTGCACCAGCCTTTTGTCCAAACTGCATTTAAGTTGTTACATGAGACGAGTGGAAATCTGTTGCACCAGCCTTGGTTTCAGTCTTGCTATGTTTTATGGTTGCTTATTGTGTTGCTTATTGTCCAACTTATTGTGTTGTTGTTTCAATGTTAGTGCAAAAAATGGTTGCTTATTGTGTTGCTGTTTTCATGTTTGTGCAAACTTTGTTTGGTTTGGTGTAAACTTGGTTTGCTGTTTCCATCCTGCCTGGCTGCTTGCTTTTCGAGTTCTAGCCTTCTTTCTCCTTCTGACATTGCTCATTACCAATGTTATTATTGACGGAGCTAGCATATTCTACGACTACACTCAGTAAGCTGGCATTACTTCATATCTTTTCATAAACATGCATATTTTTTATTGTTTAAAGTTGCACATTTGAGATAAAATAGTGTAGTCATGTTTCTTAGTTGTTCTTGAGACCATTTTTCTGTCGGTTGATGTTTGATTAATTTCGTTGTTTCACAGGTGGACCTTTGTTCTTGTCACTGTATATTTTGGGGTATGTCCTTCCTCATAACCAAATATTGCAGAGTAAATATGTGTGTGCCTGTCAGTGTGCGCGCGCGCACATGGGTGCTTGATGTGCATGCTTGCACTTTGTGATGGTTGATATCTTTCATTATATTCATCTATTGTTTCAATTAGTTTTCAATATATCACATGATATGAGCACGCCGTTTACATAATAAACCATATCTTTCAGCTTGGTTCTTTACTGACCGCTTATGGTTGCCACTAATATCTCAAGAAAATGGGTGGTGATATGATGAATGGATCAAGCTAGGATGCAGAGCGTGGTATATATGCAGCAAACATCAGTGAGAGGAGTGAAAATGTTCACCGAACAATTTAAATCTTGGTGTTTAATGAGGAACACAATGTTAAATGGGCTGTTGTATCAGTTTTATGTGTTCCAAATCATCTACCAGGTTGATATCTGATCTTATTCGTTTATTAGTTGATAAAAAGTTAAATGGGCTGCTGTATCAGTTTACGACATATATCCATGATCTATTCAATTTTTGTTGTTAATATTTTGTCTTATATGGGTGGTAATCACACCATGGTGACCACAATTAAGTTTTTTTTTTATATTTTTAGTTTGAACCAAACACTAGAAAACGAGGGAATCTATTCACACATCAATTGTTTTCTTTTTCTTTTTCAATTTGAACCAAGCTAAGAAAAGTGGTGGAAAGTACTTTCAACCCATATTTTTTGGCGAAACAAACACAAGAAACACTTTCGTGGAAAGTGAAGGAAACACAAGAAAGTGAAGAAAACTCGTTTTGAGAAAATGAAGAAAACGAACCAAACACGCCCTAAAGTAATTCTACCGATGATGATTTCGGGTCAAACTGTAAAACCCCATGAACTGGAAGTGCCTCTGTGTCCCATGGATGTCTTTATAAGGATCGTATTGTCTTTTTAAATTATATTTAATGGACTTTTTTTGCGGAGAGTTAAAATACGACTCAACTTTAAATAGGTACTGATCAATTGAGAAAAAAGACGGTACGTGACCAATTTGAGTTTGATAAACACTCGTAACAGTTTCGGGCCACGAAATTTTAAGGACTTAATATGAGCCCATAGTGGGCCCATTTTAACGAATATTGTTAAACTCCCACAGTAGGTCTTAATTTTACTACTAATATATCCGGCAAAGATCCTCTCTCATTAAAAATAAAAAGCAAATAATCAATTCCCACCTGCCAACAACTTCTCCAACGAATCTACTTCCAAACGCGGGCCCCACTTCACCGACACAGAAAAATCACCTTTTTCTCGCCACGCGTCATCCTCCCGTTCGACCTTCCCCAAGCCGTGCTCCCCTTCGATCCACCGGATCCTTCCATGAGCGCACACGTACGAGCCCGCATGTCTGTTCTCTTTCGCGTCATCTCCCTCCTCAATTCACGCATCAAAAAAGCACCCGAAAAAGGAAAAAAAAGAAAAAGAAAAAAAGAACCAAATTCTACAAACCCAAAAAAAACCCTAACCCCAGCTCTCGACGATGAAGAAGAGACATTCCTTCGGCTTCATCCTCATCATCACGGCTCTCCTCTTCTTCCTCTCGATGAGGATCCAGTTCGAGCACACCAAGGTAAACTCCCTCCCGTTTCAAGCCTCAAACCCCCAATTTTGTCTCTAATTACGGTTTTGCCATTGGCTCCCGTGTAGAACCAGATCAAGGATCCGGAGGAGGGGAGGGATCTGCTGGGGTTGCCACGTGACATTGTGGAGTCGGCGTCGGACCTGGACTTGAAGCCTCTCTGGGAGAACCAAAGGTCTCAAGTAATGACGTCGGCCCTTTGATTATGGCTTTGTATTGATGTTATATCTGGTTGGGGTTTTTTTTTATAGAAAATTGTTATTCTTGGGGTTTGAGTTTGAATAATTTCTATTATTAGAAGCTTGCACATGGGCGTTGCCCCGATAAGTAATGTTAACAAATTTAAATACTTGGGTTATTTGACTTTCAATAACCCAAGGTTTCCATCCTTTTCTCGATTTTGATACGTTGAAGTTCCACTTTAACAATTGGATACCTCAAAGTTTCAGATTGGCGCTAATCATTTGACAAATTCGTACCCCACATCCCAAACTTTGCTTCTCATTTTCTGCAAACTCAGGAAAGAAAATTTTGGTTAGGAAATTTGTTTCTCACTCATTTTTCTATGTTGCCGTTCTTGAATAAAAATTAATGTCTACTTTTTTGCACTTTGGAGTAAAAAGTTGTCAAAATACAATTTCAGGGTAACGTTGTTGAAATAGGTGGAACATTTGGGGGTATTAAAGTGCAAGTACTTGTTAGCCAAAGAGAAGAGTTGTAGACGTATAGTGTGAAATGTACTAATTAATGCGAGGGGTAGATGCAGGAGTTTTTGTCACGGAGGTGTACTGGAATAAGATATAATTGTTAAGCTTAGGCATTAATTTCATATATTGCCTAAAATAGGAAACAATCGGAGCTGGGGTTAACAGGTTATAACAGGTGAGAGTCTTCATGAAAATATTTATGACTTAGTCTAATGAAATCACTGCAAAAGAGTAAAGTGAAGAAGCTATTGGTAGGCTATGATTCAATGTTTTTCAAATTTCTAAAGTTGAAAAATATTTGTGTTAAAAATATCTTTAAAAGAACTGAACTTTAAGGATAAAGAGTCTTGGCCTGATTTAGGCATTTCATATTATTTAGAACCAGTTTGGACTTTGTGGAAAGGAACTTTTTTCAGTTTTTGTCTTCATATATGTTAACCTGTTCGCAATCAGCGGCACATTCATATTCCCTCAGTTAGTGCTTTATTTTCACTTTAGTTCTCCTTGCCCTTAAAAGCTTCATGTGGAATTCTAAGTAGATTCCATTGAGCCCTTTCTCTTATTTTTTGAATGATTGCAGTTGACATATTTGAGCATTTAATTTGTAGTTAGTTGGTAAATAATATTCTTTTGTTTGCAGGATGATAACGAAAATTTTACTGCCCTGTTGGCAATGGCTGTTGGTATTTCTCAAAAGAAAAATGTCGATCTTATGGTTAGAAAGGTGTGTGTGCACTTCCTAGTTTCTGTCATATACAAGTCTGTTTCTTTTTTCTCTTCAGATTTATGGATAACTAATATATATTTACATTATTTGTAGTTCAGTTTCTTCTAGCAAAGTGTTCTGTTATGTTATTTCATTATGATGGGAACGTGGATGAATGGCATGATTTTGAGTGGAGCAGCAGAGCAATACACATACTCGCTCATAACCAAACAAAATGGTAGTTCTTTCCCCCCTTTGTACATAACTTAGCATGTATTCTGTTATTTAAAAAAGGACGGGTCCATCTTATATAAGCTTATGCACCACTGAGAAACAAGAACAAATCTGCCCTACTGTCTTCTGTTTCAAGCTGCAAAATAATTTTCAGGAAAGTTATCGAATTCTCTAAATTCGGGAAAGTCCTACTAGCTTCTTCATGTCTTACGGCAAAGTGATTTACGTGATGGTTATTACATTCTCTGGATTTACATGATGCTTCTGCTATTCATCTGCATATATTGGTGGTTTCACAAGTTTGCCAAAAAGGATACATAAATTCTTTATTTTATACATACCACTTTTTGCTCATTTTTATTAAGTAACTGTGTTAGACTCTGTTGCTGTCGTCCACTTGGTATCTATTGTCTATTGCATCCTTATTTTCACATCCTTTAGCAATATTTACAGTATCTTTGCAATTTTTTTCCTTTTTGTTTGCTTTTACATTATTTCTAGAATCATCTAGGATCATTTTCTGCATGTTTGAAATTCTTCAGTTTCCAATGCTGAACGTCTGACTATATTGATGGTAATTTCTTGTCCTTGTGAAAGTATTATATCTAAGTCCACTTGTTGCAGGTGGTTTGCAAAGCGCTTTCTACATCCAGATGTTGTATCTGTTTATGACTATATCTTTTTATGGGATGAAGATTTAGGTGTGGAGAATTTCCATCCTGGAAGGTATCATTTAGTTTGATTTTAAATTATGTCATGAACATATTATGATTGTGCCATAAAAATTAACTGAAAGAATGTAGAATTTCTGTGTTTATACACTGTTTTTGTTCTTAAAGTTGTTTCCAACAGCAACTCCAAATGTCTCACATTTCTATTTTTTCGTGAGTATTGATTATCAGGGTTTCTCCTTATGCCTTAGCAATGTATTAAAAAATTAAGGTTATTAGGAAGAGATAAAAGTTTTAATAATTCTAAAAAGAGCTTGTTGGAAATAACATCCTGTATCAGTACTTCATCAATGATGTGCATAAATTGCTTTCTAAAATTGTTAAGTCATTTGTATGTGTAGCTTGGGTCACGACGATATAATGCTCCTTCAGCTACCGTCCACAATCATCATTTGTCCTCATTAGTAGGTAGCTTGCATTCTTGCAATGGTTTCATTTTAAGATTCTTTTTGCTTTTAAAATGCTTGTAAAATCAGGACCTCTGTAAGCTGAGACCTGGCCTTTTCTTTTTCTTTTTCTAAAGTTTGGACCGTGTTAACTTTTCCTCAGCAAAGTATCCTTAATTAACTATTTTCCTTATGCTCAATCCTGATAGTTCTTTGCAAAGGATCTTATACGATGTGAAGTTTTGATATATTTTTTCAACTGCCATGTTCAGGTATATGGAGCTAATGTTTTCTGAAGAACTAGAGATTTCACAACCTGCTCTGGATCCTGAACTGTCATCTGACATTCATCACCGAATTACTGTTCGAGATAAAAAGGCGAAGGTCCACAGGTAAATTGGGTCATCCTTAAACAATTTGGTTTATCTTTTCAGGACTTTTTTTAGTGTTTCTTATCCTTTGTTTTCGTGTTACTTAGGAGAGTTTATGATTATCGTGGAAGTATGAACTGCTCTGATGAAAGCAAAGGACCTCCATGTACTGGGTATGACTTTCAACTGACTGTGCAGCATTTTTAACTCATTTCAGCGGTATGGAGAAATTCTTGCTCCATAATAGATACATCAAATTTATGAATGACATATTCTTTGCCTAATTTTTAACCATTCTTTAGTAACAACAGAATCTATTCTTTTCTATGCAATTAGAAAACTCAATGGGAAAAAGAACTCTAGCAATTACGCTACTGCTGATAATTCCCCAGTTTGCATACAGGCAGTGTCTTCCCCAGTTATCATACTACGACTTTCCTTCCAAAAGTTATAAGGGTCGTTCTTTCATACGAGTCATTGTGATGTTTCAGTTATATGTGTGTGTGTGTGTGCGCGCGCGCGTGTGTGTATATTGCCCTTCTGTATTTTTTAATGCTTTAACCATTAATCGAGTTTAATTGTGGTTTTCTCATTTAAATAGACTTGGTAAACTGTAATGTTCAGAAGTTGGTTCCCCGTTCATTTTTAAAATATAAGGGCTCCAGCCTTTTTTATTTAGTTTTTTCTTCCATGCGGCTTTGAGATTTATCTATTGATTGTTAAAATTTCCTTTTCATTCGCTAGATGGGTTGAAGGAATGGCACCTGTCTTCTCTCGAGCTGCGTGGCGATGTGTTTGGCATCTTATCCAGGTGCATATTTGAAATTCACTTCTATCATTTGACCAGTGATAAAAATTGATGCTCATGACATCTTATCTAAGTCCTGCTTTGAGAATGAATTGCCCAACAGATTCATAATCTATTGATTTATTTTTAAGGCCAGAATGGTGCTTTGATCTCAAAATTTAATATAATAACTGATAAATATATTTATTCATCTGCACAAAATAACACACTGCCATTAAAACTTAATTTACGTCTAAATCACCAAGGTCTATTTTCATATCCCATAAAAGTTCTGTGAGATATATGCTTCTACGACTGGCAAAAAATTTTAAAGTTCATGTATGCATTAGGATATGTTACCAGTAGAAATGATACCCGCAATTTGGATGTCTCGAGTACACAAGTACAAAAGAATAGGTCACACCGAGTTTCTTCAGGATGAAGAGAATACACCTTTATGGCTTATAGTGGAAAATTCTTCCTCAATCTTTACCCTTGTAAGGGAATATGCGCTCTTTTTATCTTCTATCTCAACTCCCATCTGTTCTCATGTCCTTTCCTTTGCGACACTCAACCAACTTCTGCAGATGCTGGAATTTATTTGTATTATTCTACAAACCTATAAGCCTTATCTTTGCTAAGCATAGTCCACTATGATACACTCTAGCCTTAAAGGATCCCCAGATGATCCAGTGTACGCCATTAAGGCCTAAATATCAACTCTCTTTCAGATGGATGCAAAACTTAACACTCATCTTGGCTCATATGTACGAAGCATATAGGATTGCAGAATAACAATCGTTTGTTCAATCCATCACCATTACATGCTAGTGTATCATACCTTATTATTCCAGATATGGTATCACCTATTGGGACTAACAGTTACCAGACAGTTAACTGGGTACATCTTTTGCACCTATCAGTAGATTTTAATGCTCCGACTTGAGCACCCATATTATCCCTTTTTGTGCGCCTTTCAGATCACCAGTGACATATCAGCGCCTCTCTGAAAGCAACTAGAGGTCCACAGCCTGGAATCACTATCGTGTATTATGTGAGGAAGCAAATGCCGTTATAAGGTTCAAACAGACAAATTATGTAGATTATGACTGTTAATTTGTTCGGCCAGGGCCTGCCTAAAATTCCTTGGACACAGGAGAAGTTCCCTTATGATTGAATTCAGAGAGCTTTATCTTCATCAACAAACCCACCCAGCAGATGGATAATCTTACAGAATTGACCTATTGGCATAAATGGAGGAATCATACAGGGGCTAACACAGTAACACCAAGCTTAAAACCCATCTGGCTGCTAGCAAAAGACCAAATAGCAAGTTGCAAAGTAAGCTATGTTGTTTAACGTTTGGAGCATGCCTCTGGAACAACTTAGTAGACTTGAAAAAGAGATACTGATTTGAGTTCCACCAGTATTGTGATGTCAAATATAATCTACATTAACGTCCATGGAGCAATTTTCTAAACTTGGAAACCATCGTCATCGTCATCATTATTCTCACTTTCCTCATTGTGATACATTTCTATACAACATCTCATTTCTTTCATATACCTTCTTGACATTGTCATCTTGATCAATATATTGAGCTGAATTGTGAGGATACTAATACATATGCACTAATCTATGGACCTTTTCCCTCCATTTATATTTGGATAACTTTAGGAGCTAGTAAGCTTCAAGAAGGGCCCAACTTTTCAATAATATACTCTCTGCAGCCAAAGGTGGTTGCAAGTCAACTGAAGGATATCAATTTAAATGCCTCCAACAACTGACAACTTGGGTACCCCAATTTTTAAGGGGAGTGTAGCAAAGAATCAAACTGTATAGAGTTCCTACTTATGCATGAAATGATCTGAATTGGCTAAGTTTGCATTCTTAATGAGTAATATTGTTCATTAGAGCGCACAAGCATATAATGTTGTACATGACTCGACGCATTCAGTTTCTGCTAGTTCATGCTTCTAAACCATGGATTTTAATCGCATATGCTTGAAATTTGACTTTTCAGACTGGTCATAAGTAAGAGGGTTTAAATCAAATGCTTTTTTCTGCTTTTATACCTTCATGATATTCTAGATCAAGATGGACATTATGGATTTTTCTTTGGAATATTGTGGTATTAATTTAAAACCTGTATGGTTTTGCTTAACGGCACCAAATAAGTTCGATACTATCTCTCTATAATGTTAGATAAGCTTGTAAGATCTACATTCTTCATTACACCTGATTCTTTAGTCAAAGGAATTGTTTGTTTTTTTAAGATCAAGGCAAATGACTTGATAGTTGATACATACATAAATTCATGTTGAATATAATTGCAATTAATATTATGCAGAATGACTTGATTCATGGATGGGGTTTGGACATGAAGCTTGGTTACTGTGCTCAGGTGATTGTGCTGATTAGTAAGAGATTTTTTTTGGCCTTGTTCTTCATATATTTAGCCCTGGGCTTCTGTATTTATGAAATTTTAAGCAACTATTTCTTGATGAATTTCAGGGTGATCGAACTAGGAAGGTTGGAGTGATTGACGCTGAGTACATTGTTCACCTGGGAATACCATCCTTGGGAGGGGCATCTGCTGCTAAGGTCCAGCTAATGTTATATGCAGATACCATCTCTTTTTTCTTCCTCTTAACATCTTTAATTGTGACTTGTCATTCACTTTCCGTCTCTTATAAAACTATGAGCATTTAACCAAGGTGTTTTTACCATTTTTCATTGTTTTAAACTATCCCCGACATGACCCGATATATCCTTTTATAGGGTTTGCCGCAACCGATATGATCTCTAAATATCCTTTATGCCTTTCGGGTATTTTGGGTAATATATCCCCGGTATGACCGATGTATTAGCCACTATGTTGGCTGATATATGCTTTTATATGGCTTGTCGCAAAACAATATACCGCGTTTGACAACTTTTGGGGGAGATATCATAATTTTCCTACTATATCAAATGACATTTTGACCTAGAAAAATCCGACCAAATGTTGCAATGTTGATTTGTACTTCTGTTTGTTTTACAAGGCTGATTAGTGATCCTAAAGATATGTTATTTACATATTGTATGCTTAGATTTCCGTAAGTATGTAGAGATTATATTTTAGTGCATTATACTATATACATTTTAGTGCATTATACTATATATGAAAACATCCATTATAACCTTCCTATATTACCACATATTCCCGATATATCCCCGATATCCGCTATCCGATATGAATTGTGGCCATCTGATATTTCCTCGATATCCGATATTGAAAACCTTGCTATTTTTATTAGGCCAGTTATGTATAGAAAGTTTCAAAAGAAGAAAACTTTAGAATAAACTGTGCATTGTGATTGGAAATCATAAAGAGTTGTAGGGCAGTTGATGGGATTAGTTTTTTTTCTCTATGTTGTCTTTCTGTTTGTCAAACTATTATCAAAATCATTGTGTTTTTGTTTGCTTTCTTGTCTTTAAAGGATTAAATATATCTAGCCAAATAGAAGACATTTGAAACACAAACTAAAAATATGCCAAGAACCATGTGCACGCGCGCACATGCACACATGTGACTGAATGCACACTTGCACCCACATGCACGCACATGCATGGACTACCAAGTACCACACCACACACACACACACATACGGACTGACAGAGACGCACGCATAAAGGAATAAACTTTGAATAAACTTTCACATCAAATTGAGTTAAATGAGCTCAGTTGAATAAACTTTCTATTATCTGTGTGATAATAGCAACAGATCTTTCATATTTATCGTGATGCTGAAGTGTCTAGGAATTAACAATCAACCCATGAGAAGGAATTCATGAATATAACTGACCCATTTACATAGAATTGAAAATTTACTGTAATCGAATTGCTTGCCTGGTAACCGTTTTCTGGATGTTTGAGGACACTGAATAAGCATCCTGGAAGCTATACCAAATTCATAACTGTGGCTTTCTACTAAGATGTTAGTACTGATGCAGTTACGAAGAAAAAGGTCTTGTGCAATTTAGCAGTAGCGATTGATGAGAGATTGATGATATATTTTGCTAGAAAATCTTCTACGTGTTAAAGGTGAGTATGAACACCCAACAGATCATTCGCTCTGTTATAAAAGGATTTAACTATAACAATTGACGCAAATGCAACGAGCAAGAAAAGGATAAAGTTATTTATCATAGACGATGATCACCAAGAAAAAAGTCACAAATTGACAGCAGAATTCATTATATACGGATTTGTCCATATTGGTTGATATGTAGGCCATTTTTTTCTTCTGTTGAACATTTTGTGGTCAAGCATAATATGGATTTCTGTTCTATTTTGTGCATGCAAGAAGTCTACTTATGTATACAAATAATGGAATAAGGGCGACTTGGGTGGTATTGTGGAACATTTGTTAAATGCCTGAACAGAAACTAAGAACTTTATCTGAATGTTAAAATAGAAACAGTGATAATAAATTCCACGCTTTGCTTTGAGCCAAATGAACTGCTGTCATTTACTTTTATGTCCTTTATTTATCTGGATATTACACAGAATCGACCATGCCGCCATTTGTGTTAATGCATCACTTGAAGTTTACTTCCAATGTTCTACTCATTAGAAAAGGTGGAAACTCCAATATTAATTCAGTGTCCTTCCTTCTATTACAGGCACCAAGCTATAAAACCATGGATACAAGGACTCATGTAAGCTCATACAATGTGTTTAAGTCATAATTTTATTGGGAATTGTGTACTTTCATTATGACAGTCATGGAGTTGTTCGTTCTATGAATTTAACAGATAAGAAGGCAGTCAACAGCTGAGCTGAAAAAATTCAGGAAAAGATGGAATAAAGCTGTGAGCGAAGACAAGGCATGGACTAGACGTTTTGGATCTAATGACAGGATGAAAAGGGTGAAGACATGAAGGAAATCACAGGAATAATCAAATTTCTAAATGAAATATTTTCCTCGGTCTTGATGAGCACACGTAGCAACTCTACGGTATGTTCTTTTACCTCTTTCAGAGTGTTCATGCTGTTCTATTACATGATAAATCAGTCAGTAGCACTAATTCTCGTGCAAAACAATGCAGATGGTGGCATTTCTTCGGATTTTTTTATTGAGTCCAAATTGATGTCTGGCTCAGCAACACGAAACTTCACAGTAGGCTGAAAACTAGCATGACTCTGAGATGACAGCATATATTTCACGATTGTTCTAATATTTATTCCACCCAGTTTGATGATAAATTAATTGGTTCGAGGTGTACAGAAGTTTTTCTAATTCTTAACTGTTAGATTCAATGATTCAAGAAAAGAGCAGAGGAGCTTTATGTTTACACATACAGGAGTTATCCGACAAATTTTGTTTTTGGAGTTGCACAAACATTTATATGGGATATTGAAAAGTTTCAATTTTTTTCCCTTGTGTTAGTTTCAAATCTTTGAGTTGTGGAAATCATGCTTCTCAATTCATCTTCCCTCTTTCTGGAGATATACAACTCAGGTGTCTGTAATTCATGTAGCAGGTCTACAGGAACTTATAGTTGCATGAAATACAGTCCCTTCCCCATTTACAGTTTTTGTTTTTGCCTCATGGAATTAGTCTGTTTTGGTTATAGGTGAATTGCAACAATATGCTCTTTGGTAGTGTAAACTATGATAACAATCTGAATCGAAAGGAGACTGTTTCCTTTAAAATATGTATTTGCTGCGGTTTTTGATCTAGTTTATCGACTAGACAAAAGAAAGCCCACAGAAGCCAACCTCAGGCATTTTATTCTTCACAGTAGGAATCGAATATTTTGGTAATGTGCAGATTCTACTAGTTGGATACGCTGAGATATTGTTGTTTACAAAAGCTATTGTGTGATATGCTAAAACGAAAACACTTTTTGGCTCGCGCTTTAACGCGCGAGCCAACTCGCACAGGAACAAGGGGGTGGGCCCCAACTGGCTGCGCACAGGGAACAAGGGGTGGGACCCACTGTGCCAGTGGGGCCCACCCCCTGTTCCTGTGCGAGTTGGCTCGCGTGTTAAAGCGCGAGCCAAAAAGCAGCGTTGATGCTAAAAATATGCTCATACAACTAGGGTTCAGTCTAGGTAATGGATAAAGTTTGACGAGGATATATTATTGATGGTTATTTCCTTGTCCTGCCCAATGACAAAAGTCTGCATCTTAGTACTATTTGAGTAATTGCTATGTACGTGAGCAGCAATTGCTCACTGTACCAGCCTTCAGGTCTGTAGCATTTTCACTCTTCTGTTCTTTAGTAATTTCCCATCACATGGTATATTAATATGCTGTAGTCTAGTTTCTGAACATCCCCAGTTGCTCTTACCAGTTAATAGTTTCACTTGCACACGCTCCCCTACTACAAGCTACAACTTGTTATTCAAAGATAATGCAGTTACTGTTTATTTATGTTCTCTCGTCTCTTTATTTATCACTTTTTTTACCGTCAACAATATGTGAATGAATCAGGTTGTAGGTTGAAGAACAGTAGTTCATGTGAAAAACTAGCAAAGGAGCTAAGAACTTCCGTCGGCAAATGCCGTTAACGGCACAGTATGAGCTCAGAGCATCCCATATGGTCAGTTATGAATAACCTTACCCCTTCATAAATGACACCAGGCCAAAACTAGATAAGCTTTATTCATGTACATTCTAGTTTGCGTTCTGCTGTAGAATATGAACCGACTTGGATTTTTTAATTGTTCCTCACGAAACATCTCAGATCTATGATTTCCTATAATATATTTCCTGCAGTATTTTTTTATATTTTAATTAATCGATCCTGAGTAAATCTTATAATAACGATAAATAGTTGATTTTTTACTATAACTCATGAAACATCATTGCTGACTCCTAACAGATGAATTTCTAGTACATACATCTCTATTAGCATTTGCTGCATTTTTCTATTTGTCGATCATCTTATCGTTCAAGCATTATTATGTTTTATTTACCCACCAAATTTAATAAGCTTGACAGAGTGCTTATTCTCAGTTTTATGTTAGGATAAGCATTTTAGGAGAAAAGCTTAAGAAAATTCCTCAGTGCAATGTACACAATGTTTCTTTGAATGAAAAAAGTATCAAATGTACTTAATAATATTACAATTGGTTGAAATGTAACCATTAACTCCCTAAATAATCAAACATTTCCTCAATTAAAGTGTAAGAATCTCCCTTAATATCTTCAATCATCTGCTTGTGGAGCTTGAGGCTAAGCTAATGACATAGTTGCTGAAGGAAGGTGTCCTTTTAGCAAGATTGTTTGATGAGCTCACTACATGCTCACTCTTCTTCTGTAGCTTTCTCCGTGCAATATACCCTCTAATCCATGGACTTATGTCTTCACTGATCTTGATCATGATGAAGAACAATATGCGATAGATTATGATCATACAGAACAAAACTGATAAGTCCAACCATTTTGATCGGTTTACATTGATCTGGAACACATTTGTTAGTATGTATTCTCCTGAGATCTTCGGTAGAGTAGGTATTTGGTTATCGAACATGAGACCCTTCAGATCATTTTGGTATTGCCCCTGTTAAATGACATAGTGAAGACGGCTAGAATATAGCTTGGAATTTGAATAGGAGGTTTTTATTGGCTCAATTGTACAGACCGCCCTGTAGTATCATTGTTTTGAACTTGCTACCCATGTAGTTTCATTGTTACTGGTCTGCAACAATAAAACTACAGGACTAGTAAGTTCAGAACATCGTCGGTACAGGGGGTCTATCTACTATTAACCCATTTTTTCTTTTTTGATTACCTGAATTGCCCAAAAATGAAAGCTGACATAGGACATCGGATATCGCCAGAGAGGCTTAGGGATATCATATGGGAGCCTAAAGAAACCAGAGACCAACATGTAGATTCCCTGTTTCAATATGCAAATATGAGAGTTTTGACATTTATATGTAGCAAACTATGTCAAATGTTTGAGGAGCCATTTATTAATACGGCTTACCTGAATCCCAGCTCCTACTATAATTCCCATGAGGAAATTAGGCACCACGCTTGCTATCACCATCATCAAGCTCTCAACCACTGTAACGCTTGCATAGAGGCACATCACGAAGAACAAATAGTGCACAAAGCCCGGGTGAAGCCGTACCATGAAGTAGCATATCGTTCCAGAGAGAAACGTTATCAATACTAAAAATGGCATGGCAGAGAGAGTGTTGCTTATAACGAATGCTGATACACCGTAATGCCCATTAAGGCGTTCTCTGTGGAAAACCTACACGAACAATAACTCTGAATAAATTAATTTTAGCTTGTGACCTCGATTTTTATGGCATTTTAGAATGTTGTATACCTTCATATCTTCGATAAATGAAGGAAAACCTCCGATAGACATGAAAGTTACGAAACCAAATATGAATGAAGCACAAGATCCTCTTGCCTGTTTTCGTAGCATTAGATAGTATTAGTAGAAATAATCGATAAATAGTAGACTATGAATATCGTAGAAAATTACCATGATCGAGTTATATCCGGTTCCAATGTTGAAATAGATGGTCCCTATGCAAATTGTCACAAGTAGATATATCACTAGTCTCAGCCAATAGTACCCAAAATCTCTTGACATATTCACAAACGAGCGTTTGGTTAGGGTAAAAGCCTGTAGAATGAAACTGGCCTGGCTTCCTTGTGAGTGTAACATCGTTCCTTTCTGCATAACAAAATATAGATGAATACCCTCGTGAAATAAGAAAACATTGACTATTAAGTATTACTCACAACTCCCGAGATCTCCTCTACTTTCTTTCTGGCTGCTGAACTGTACTGAGATTGCTTATAGAATTCTGTTAGAGTTCGTATAGCTTCAGCTGTAGTCATTCTCTCTAGAGGGTCATCATTCCTGTCAATCTACGAGAAGAACATGAAAGGTCAAGATTTTTTAGTCTGATATCGTTATAGAGTTGAAAATTTTCTTACCCTCGTTCTTCTTGATCCCTTTAGAGTAGCCTTCACCTTGTCGAAATCAGAGTTAATGCACCTTAAGAAATGATCAGATGGGTTTCTCAGGGTTGGACAAGGAAACCCAGCTTGTGCAAAGAACTAAAAAAGTTAAAAAAAAAAAGTTGTAAGAAACTAATCCATTAAGAGAAAAAAGGGGTAAATTTCGAGAAAAAATGTTTTCTTTTTTACCTGGCAAGCTTCTGACGCCTGTCCAAAATAGACAGTTTTACCACCTGAGAGCAAATACAATCGATCAAACAACTCGAAAACCTCACTACTTGGTTGATGAATTGAAGCTATCACTGTCCTCCCTCCTCTTGATAGAGCTCTTAGAGTCTGCGTCACGAAGAATGCCGATGCACTAATAGTCGAAAAGCAGTTAGAAAAACACTTGATAGAAAGAGAATAATGAGTGTCATATACATATGAGGGATACTCTCATATACAGTGAAGTGGATGAATCCCAGCGAAGTGAATAAAGAAGGTTCTTCTTTATTACTTAGCTTAAGTGATTCAGGCACATCATTGTATATGAGAAAATTCTATCATATGCTGTAAGATACTCACTATTCTCTGAGAGAAATTACAAAATGACAGTTAAATACCTGTCAAGGCCACTAGTGGGTTCATCTAAAAAGAGCAATCTCGGCCTCATGAGGATTTCTAAAGCAATGCTGACCCTTCTCTTCTCTCCTCCGCTTACTCCTCTCAAATGCCAGTTACCAATAACAGTGTTTGCACAGTCTTGAAGACCCATTTCGGTAATTGTGCTTTCGACTAATGCTTGTTTTTTCTCCCTCTCCATGTTATTGGGGAGGCGAAGGTAAGCGGAGTAAGTGATTGTTTCTCTTACTGTTAGAGTTCCGAGTAGGTTGTCATCTTGAGTCACATAGGCCTGAGGTTGAAGAAGAAAAAAAGAAGAAGAGGAATCAATTAATTTCATCTTAATTTTCTATTTTGATTCAGNAGAGTAGCTTCATGTGAAGAATAATCCAGTCTGTATGCTACTGGGTGTTGGATATAAGGGAGTCCACTAAAATCTCAATCTCGATAACACGGCATGAAATTGAAACTTTGTGTCTTATACGCGTATTATTAAGTTCTTTCTGTTTTAGATGGGAAAAAAACAGAGGATTTTTTTTTTTAGTATCTAACAGAAATATAAAACCCTGAAGGGACCAAAAATGGAATATATCCAAGAGAAGAAATTAAAACTGACTAACATAGAAGTCTCCTATAATCTTTTAAAGTAAATCTTTGGGACAATGATATTGATATATTTCTTCTTTATTCAGCCTGTTAATAATCAGCTGTTAACAACTTCAACCTAATAGCAGATTAAGAATACAAGGATAACCCTATACAACTTTCATGTGGAAAGAAAGAATAGAAACAATACAAAACGGGGTATCTCGTATGTAAGAAAGTTGAGCAACTTTTGCTTAACTCCAAGAACAGAAAAAACAGAGTAAAACAGAGCAAAAACAGAACGTCTCAGGAAAACAAAGAAACAGAGCAAAAAACAGAGGAGGAGGCTCACAGCAGTGCCAAAAGACAACTTAGTCTTATGCCCATTAACCGAAATACTGCCCGAAACAAAAGCGTTCGTCGCGGTTCTACTCGCCAGCGCATCAAGCATTGTCGACTTCCCAGACCCGGAGGGCCCCATCAGCGCCGTTAGCGTTCCAGGCTCAGCGTACCCTGTCAACCCCTGCAGCACCTTCACCGTTCCTCCTTTGCCTCCGGAAACAGTGACAGTCAGATCCTCCCACGTTAGCTTTGCGTAAACATCCTCGACGACTTCAATCTCTGTGTTCGCTTTCCATAGCGTTTCGCTCATCGGACTCATTGCTCCGTCCACAATCCTGTTTCTTAGTGGTTTTAGATCCTCAATTTCTACCATCACTTGATTCTTTGAGCTCTTGTTCATGTTTGGTCGGAGGGTATGCGGTTTTGGTGGGAGAAACAGAGGGTTTAAAAACAGGGGAGGGGAGAGGGGTAAAGGTGGGTGACCCAACTTAAATGTTTTTACATAAAAAAATATAGTTTTTTGATGAGATTTAAAGGTGGGTAGGGTTTGTTTGACATCAAGTGGGTAAGTTACTGAGGAGTGGGGGCAAAAGGAAAGGCGGGGGGAGGTTTTGTGAGTTGAGATGTTGGTTTGACTTGGGAAATGAGTAGGGTCATCAGGTGCTCGACTCCATGAGATTTTTGTATGACTGTTTTTTTTTTATCAAATTTGTCAGGCAGAAACTGTTAAAATCAAAATGTTTTAGCATGAGCACTAATAATTAGGTCTTAAATAGAAGTTGAGCCATCTTAACTTAGAAAGTTTTTGCATTTAGATATTAGTCCCAACTTTCTATTTGAGTTCATCGTCCTTTCTTTGGCTTTTCCGAGGTGAAACTGTATCGGTACATTCCCAACATAAACGGAGAAAAAGTTAAGAACTTTTTGAAAAATATATCTTAGGGGCCTAAGCATAACTTGTAAATAATTAATTAATTAAAAAAAATCTTATTCAAGAATTCTTACAATGGGAAAAGCCAGACCAGCTGGAAAGCGTAGCTTGTGGGTTACGTACATCAACTTATGCGAGTGATAGTATTTATTGCTTCAGTGATGAGAATCACATTTATTGCTCATAGCTTTGTTGAGCCTATGTTCCTATGAAAGGGTTGGTTTGAATTCCTCCTGTACATAGCTAGCTGTAAATGAAGAAAACATTTTGGTTCCACGTAAACGAACTTTGCAATGATTGTAGTAGATATTTAATGCGGACATATACAGCATTAGATATACTTTTTTTTTCCCTCATGGTTAGCCGCATATACAACCCAATATCAAAGAAGCTTGCTATTTGTTACATATAAAATTTTCATTTAACTCTTTGACACCTGTCATATCATGTATGGATTGTTATGTGGCTTCCACGTGTTGCAAAGCTGCCTTCTGATATTTCAATATCTTGCTAAGAGACCTCATTGCTCTTATCTAGGGGTGCATTCGGTCCCGATACGGCTCATTCGGTCCGGATACGACTCAGATATGATGCTTAGCATATCCATATCTGCTAAAAATCAGATATGGTTACGGATATAGATGTGGATATATAAGCAGATATGCATGTGGATAGAAAACGGATATGAGAAAACTAGATAGTATTGAGAAAAACATAGTTCACGTGATACAAAAGAGGTCGTTAATATGTTCATTATAACTAAAAAGCTAAGATTAGACATTTTGATCATCAAAATTAACCACAAATCCATAATTTAATAATCAAAACTATCATAAGAATATGGCTAATATGTATCCGGATATTTTGGATACGAATATTTCACTGCAAAACCATATCCGTAACCATATCTTATCGGTTATAGATTTAACTAAACATATCCATATTTCGGATACGGTTACAGATATTTCCTTGGATACGGTTACGGTTTAGCACCCCTACTCTTATCTCTTATAGGTAGGTGTTGAGCATGTTGATCTTATTCGATCTAGTTCAAACAATATAGCCGTGATTAATTTAAAGAGATTAAACATAACAAGAGCGAAAGCTATACCTGAAACCATGAGGATCTGAATTAGGGTTTGATCTTCTAATCTTGAGGGTCTCTCCTTATTTTTTCTTTGGATGGGGATTAAGAGAATAGAGAACGTAACCTCAGATTAGGGACCATAACCCTTTATTTATAGATATTGTTGTTTTCTAATTTAGACCCTCATAAAATTAGAATTACAATCTGATATCTACACAATTAACCCATGATTAAATTAAATACCCATTGATCCAAATTAACTTAATTGATCACTTTAAGCGGGTCAACTTTATAGATAGCATTATACACTAATATAACATATATGCTCACAATTAAATTTAATCCAACAATCACTCACTTGGGCACTATATGTTTCACTAAAATATGTATAACCTTATAAGCTCAAAATTGCTATCACAAATAAGGGTATTTCTAAACAATCTCGTCCATTGACTGTATCTATATAGGATCAAAGCGGCATTCATCACATTTATCGTGACTAAACCCATCAATGATCACATATACCAATACAATCAAATGATATAGATCAATCATGGATGTGCAGTATGAAATTATATGCAATGTAATCTGTACATGTCTATTTTTAACTAGTCCTACTTTAAACTTTAGTGAGGTCAATACCAAAACAAAATATGACAGTGTATGAACTGAATACTTTATTCTGATCAGACAATACAACCAAACATAAAGCACCACAAATTATAAACTCCTACTAAATCATGATATCCTCAACTAATACCATACCCATATGAGCAGTGTGCTCATGAAAAACCTTGGGTGACAATCCTTTTGTAAGAAGATCACCTATCATGGAGTTTGTTCCAATGTGCTCTATGGATATCTGTCCACTCTGCACCATTTCTTTCACAACTAGAAACTTAATGTTAATGTGTTTTGACTTAGTCGAGCTCTTGTTATTGGAATACATAACTACTGTTTTATTGTCACAAAATAACTTAAATGGTCTTTCAATATTTTCCAGAATGCACAGTCCAATAACAAAATTTCACAGCCATACTCCCTGATTAGATGCCTCATAGAAAGCTACAAACTCTGCTGTCATAGTGGAGGAAGCTATAAGTGTCTGTTTGATACTTTTTCATGATATAGCTCCTCTTGCTAATATATAATGTAGCCTGATGTAGACTTTCTGCTATCTTGGTATCCAGCAAAATTAGAATCAAAGTACCCAATGACCTCCAACTATTCTGATTTTCTGTATGTGAGCATATAGTTTTTTATTTTCTGAAGATACCTCATAACCTTTTTGACTGCTATCCAATGATCCATAGCAAGGTTGCTTAAGTATCTGCCTAGCATACCAATAATGTACGCAATATCCGGACACGTACACACCTGAGCATACATTAGACTTTCTACAGCCGAAGCATAAGAAATCTTCTGCATTTCTTGAATTTTAAGGTTACGTTTAGGGCACTGATTAAGACTAAACTTGTCTCCTTTAGCAATAGGGGTGTCACCTGGTCTGTAGTCTTGCATGTCAAATCTTTTGAGTACTTTATCGATATAGCTATTTTGTGATAATCTAAGTATACTTTGAGAACGATCTCGATGTATCTGGATTGCTACTATAAAAGATGCGTCCCCAAGATATTTCATCTCAAAATTCTTTAAGAGAAATCTCTTGGTTTCGTACAACATGCCTATATCATTAGTGACAAGCAATATGTCATCGACATACAGAAAATCTCTTGGTTTCGTACAACATGCCTATATCATTAGTGACAAGCAATATGTCATCGACATACAGAACTAGAAAAATATACTTACTCCCACTGAGCTTGTGATATACACAGTCATCAACAATATTCATCTCAAAACCAAACGAGATAGCTTGCTTAAGTCCATAGATGGATTTTCTTAATTTGTAAACCATATTCTTCAGGTCCCTGGCACAAAGTTTTCTGGTTTTACCATATAGATCATTTCATCAATGTCTCCTTTGAGAAATACAGTCTTAACATCCATCTGATGTAACTCAAGATCAAAGTGAGCAACAAGCGCCATTATTGTTCTGAAAGAGTCTTTCGATAAAACCGGAGAGAAAGTCTCTGTATAATCAATGCATTCTTTTTGAGTATAGCCTTTAGCTACAAGAGGTGCCTTATACCTCTCCACATTACCATTTGCATCCCGTTTGGTTTTAAATATCCATTTACAACCAATTGGTTTTACACATTCTGGCAATGGAACAAGTTCCCAAACCTTATTATCTTGCATAGACTTGTACTCTTCATTCATAGCATCAATCCACTTTTGAGAGTTAGAATTTTTCATGGCCTGATGGAAGTTGATTGGATCATTCTCCAACATCTTATTATTTTTCTCATGTTCTTGGAGAAATACAATATAATCATCCAGAATAGTATTTTTTCTTTCTCTAGTGGATCTCCTTAACGACACTGGTTCTTGAGGTTGTTGAGTTTGTTCTTCTGGAACAGGGAGTTGTTCAACATTGACTTCTTAAGGTTTCAGATTAATTTCTTGATCAATAACATGTATAAAAACCTGAATATTGTCAAAAGTGATTGTATGAATAGGATCTAAAGTCAATTCTTCATCGAAAGCAATGTCTCTAACCTTATTTCTTTCCCCAAACTCAACATTCTCAAAGAATTTTGTTGTTCCCATCTCAAAAATAGTCCTGAGTGTGGGATCATAAAACTTATAGCCCATAGATCGTTCAGAATACCTAAAAAAGTAGCTGCTAACTGTTTTGGAGTCCAATTTCTTTTCATTTGGCCTATAAGACCTTGTCTCAGCTGGACATCCCCAAATGTGTAAATACTTTAAATTAGGCTTTCGACCAGTCCAAAGCTCATAAGGTGTTTTTGTAACTGCTTTACTTGGTACATTATTTAGAATGTAAGCTGACGTCTTTAGTGCTTTCCCCAGAGTGACTCTGGTAAAGAAGAATGAGCAATCATACATCTTACCATATCATTAAGAGTCCTATTTCTTCTTTAAGCTACACCATTCATGCTGGGTGACCCTGGCATGATGTACTATGGGACGATACCGTATTTATTTAGGTATTTAGCAAATGGTTCTGAACGTTGTTCACTTAAACCATCATATCTACCGTAGTATTCACCACCACGATCAGATCTAATGGTTTTAATCTTTTTATTGAGTTGATTCTCAACTTTAGCTTTAAAAGCTTTGAACATGTCCACGGACTCAGGTTTCTCATGAATGAGATATAGGTACCCATAACGTGAGTAGTCGTCTATGAATGATATAAAATATTATTGATCATTCCAAGATGCCGTAGGGAATAACCCACAAATATCTGTATATATCAATTCTAAAACTTCTGAAGATCTATTGGCACCTAATCTCTTAACTTTGGTCTGTTTTACCTTGATACATTCAACATATACGTCAAAATCTAAAAAATCAAGGGGATCCAAA